ATATATATATATATATATATATATGTTTGAAGAAATATAGTTTTAAGGTGTGCTATATTTATGGGATAAAGTGCTCAATATCGGAGATAGAGCGTATGTAAATATAAATATAAAAGTGAAAATTGAAGTCAACACTCACAGTCGAGAGGCTGTTTCATGTTAGACGCAATCGTCAGGCCGCTGGTGTTAGATTTTTCCTCAACTATTGATACATATGCGTCATTAGTGCGTTGTGGGTAATCTAATCTGGCGGTTATTTTGTGGGAGTGGCTTGTTTGTTTATTTACTTATTTGTTTGGGTTCATTTATTTAACTTGTTTTTCAGATAGACGAAAAAAGTTATAACTGCTATATATCGATAGAAAAAATGTCACTACGTCACTCAAAAATTGAAAACCAAATAGAATAAATAAAAATATACAAAGTAACAAATAAGTAAATAAATAAAAAAAAACATTAAAAATTAATCTTAATAAAAAATAAATGAACAAATTAACAAATCGCCCTCGCTAAAATAACGGTTAGAACTAATAAAAATAAACATAAATAAGCAAAATCAAGTGATCAATCCATATATATATATATGAACAACCTGTGGCCGATTATCTCTTCTTAATTCTGTTTGAACAACCTGTGGCCGATTATCTCTTCGATAATTGTGGATTCTATGCTTAATCTCCACTATTATCATGGTTGCTGTTGCAGAATATATAACTCTAAAATAGCAAATTCTGATTTTCAAGCAATCTGAGTCAAACTTACTTAAAAAAAAAAGTGGTTCACAATCATTCCATCCTAACATATGACCTTATTTCAATAAACGGAGGGAACATCCAGAAACAAGTACATGTAGCTTTTTCTCGAGTATGGGTTAATGATTATAAAAGCTAACGGGATTTTTTTAATCGGTATCACCCCAAGCAAGGTAGTATAGCCACTAAGACGCAAGGGTTACAGAATGTGGAAGAATTAGGAACAGAAACATTAATAATGAACAAGAATAGGAAAGAGTATTCAGGAGGGAAGTAGATAGCGATTTACATTGCATTTAATTTTTTGCAGATTAAATTTGATTGAAAATCATGGAGTCAGAAGGGAGTTCCACGTGCGAGAAGTAGGAGAAAAGAAACTGTCAGTATAGAAGTTTTGTTCTACATCTTTTTTTTCAGTTTTCAGTTTGTTTTTCTATTAACCTGAATGGAAACCTATTTAAATCGATTCTTTTTGCAGCGGGCATCATCTAAGTGTTAAACAATAGTTTTGCATATTGACAATAGGTCTGGGCACGGAGTCTGGCCTCACCATTGTTTTGTCTTCATATCTTAAGTTGATTTCGGAATAATAAATTCTTATCAATTTCAACAATCTTTTCCCCATCAATCACTGAAATCAGTTTCAGAGTGTTCTTGCCAGGATCGATGCATTCTTTAATTTTATTTGTTGAATTTTCTTTTTCTTTTTTGTCTGGTATGCTTTTTTTCTTTTCTTCCTTTTTCTTTCTTATTTCTTTTTCTCCGTTTCTCTTTTTTCGTTTCTTCCTTTTTTTCTTATTTCGTCTTCTCCGTTTCTTTATTTTCTTTTAACCCTTTTTTTTTTCATGTCATTTTTGACTTACACCTTTATCTTTTGTCTTTTTTACGCTCTTCTGTTTTTGGAGGAGCTTTTTCCTCCTCCTCCAATTTTCCTTGTCCGACTATTTAAACCAATGATTCTCAACGTGGGGCGCATGCCCCAGCGGTAGGGCATGGTAATATTTCGGTGGGGCATGCGCAGGATGTGCACCCTTCGGCTTACTATAACAACATGAGCTCAAATTTCATTTTGCATTATTATATCATGATTAAAATAGTCAAAGTATATTAGAGAATAAACTTTCATTCAAATATTTTATATTTCTACCTTTCAGTTCTCTATTATATATTTTGAAACTATATATATTTAACTATTTTTTTAAAAATTTTTCTTTTCCATGGCGCCATGGTTTTTGGAGGCTTGTTTAGAGACCAAGTTAATGGCTTTTAAGCTTTCTTCACGTGAATTGCAGTAAACTTTTGAATATGTAAGAATCAAATATTACAGGGGGCACCAGAATTTTAGAAATACCAAATTGAGGCATGGCCTAAAATCGGTTGGGAACCAATGATTTAACTCCCACTTTTACCATTTTTTCTTTTTCACTTTGTCTTCATTTCTTCCTGTGACATCGTTTTTAATATTTTTCCCTCTTTTTATTTATCACTTTATGCTCCTTTCTCTTTCTTTTCCTTCTTGTAATGTTTCTTTTTCTTTTCTTTTGTTTTTTTTTTCTTTATTATTTTCTTCTGCTTCTTCATCTCTCTCTCTATCTCTCTCTCTCTCTCTCTCTCCCGTTTTTTTCTTCGCCTGGAAATAATAGGTGCTCTTATCTTGGAGGTTCACTTTTAATCGGTATCACCCCAAAGAAGTCACTGAAATGCAAGGGGGTTACAGGGCGTGGCTGAATTAGAAGCAGAAACATTAGCAATGAGGAGAAAGAAAAAAGAGCAATCAGGTAGACAGCTGATAGAGATTGACCTTGCATTTAAACTTTTGTAGATTAAAGTTGGCTGTTAAGTGAATTCCACAAACCAGAAGTGCGTGAAAAGAAACGAGTAGCGTAGCACTTACGGCTACATTACCTAGCTCAGCTGTAAATTGGTAAGATCTCAACGCCGGTCTTGTACTAGTTAAATAATAGAGTTTAGGTATTATAGCTAAGAATTCATCCGAATAATTACAATGAAAGTTTTTTTTTTAAAAGTCACAGAGAGATAACCTTACGTCGGTGGGGAAGGGACTGAAGATGAGCAGCCAGATCAGGACCAATAATATTGCTGATTCTTCTTTGGATTTTATCAAGAAGCTCAAGAAGGGGGACCTGACCATATGTGGCAGTATTATTTTAAGATGTTCGGGTGGTGTAATGAATAACGACTTGTAATTGGAAACCGAAGTGCCGAGTTCCAATATTTGTTGGTTTCGTTAGATTCACTTTCGGACCAATACCCTAAGGAACGGTATGATTCTACATGTTCTACCCGCCAAATATGGGCTAATTTTTAAGCAAATCATTACGCCCAAAATTTCTCAAAATCTAAATTTTCTAGTTTAAATAACCTGCAAATGGTTGATAAGCCATAGACAATTAATAAATTATTATTGTTATTGTTATTATTATCATTTAATTCTTCTTCTCTTCTTCTTCTTGCCCCTCCTCTTCCACCAGTGTTCCACCGCAAGCTTCACAACATACTTGTGGTCTTTTTGCCTCCGCCTCTTCCTTAACTACCTTCTGGACTTTCTTGTTCTCTAATTCACCAGCCCCCACTCCTTCTCATACTCATCTTCTTCCGCCCCCAAATGCTTCCTTTCTACCTTCTATATTATTATTCCTGTCCTCCTTATTGTTCACCTCATCTTTTTACTTTTTCCAACACATTTTCCGACCTTTATTCCCTACATTGTGCTGGATATTGATATACTTATTGATAAGATTACCACTTCTTACACTTTATCACAATCAAACTTGTGTTGGAAGATTTTCACAAAATTCCGCACAGATATTGACTAAATGAAAGAGGAGGGTCTCTTTACTGTTGTAGTAAGTTATCACTTCATAAGGTTCCCAACTAATATGGCCTTGTGTCAGACTAAACTATTTTTAATAAATTATGTTCTTATGGCTTTCCACGCACTAAAATAATAATTACCACCAGAATTATTAATTTTCCCGCGCTATTAATAATTGCGTAATATTTTCCCGTCTTTTAAAGGCATTCGTTTGTTTGATTCCAGTGTTCTTAAAGATATTATCAGAAACTCCAATATTTTATGATTTTAAAGATAGGCATTATTTTGTGTGAGTCGAATGTTTATTTTTTGTGTGTGGGTTATAGAATGTGGGGAAAAATGAAAATAAAATAATCAATAGTAGAATTTATCAAACATATAAATAAAAAAAAAGGATTAAAGATTTATATCTTTAAATTAACAAGATGAGTTTGATGATATGTTGATTATCGGATTATTTTTTCTGCCTTTTTATTATATCCAATAAACATTTCAAAACGATATTTATGTAAATCAATGTTGCCAATTATTAATTAATATTACTCACTCGGTAAACTGTTCAATATACATTTTTTAAATATTTCATTTAATCGATATAAATTTCAGATGATAAAAAACTGATGGATTATCCCTACTTTTACATTAATGGTCAAAGTAAAGGGTGTTTCATTAAGACGGATTATATATAACGGTGTTTCATTAAGATGGATCAAAGTCAGCAGTATTGATCATGTTATTTAAGTCATGGCAATTATGTGTGAAAAATAATATCGCCCAAATGTCCACCAAGGGTTCGGCGGCACACCTCCACTCGATGATCAAAATTTTTGATGACGTTTCTACATAGTTTCTCCTCGATCCCACCAATATGCCTTATTATCTCCTCCTCCAGCTATTGAATGGTTGTTGGCTTTTTGGCATAGACCTTACTTTTGAGATGACCCCAAAGGAAGAAATCTAAAGGCATCAAGTCGCACGATAGCGGTGGCCAATTGACTTCGATGATGTGACCTGGGACATTCTAATTCAATTTCTGTTTGAACGTTCATTTTCGTAATAGGCTTCAATAACTTTAATACGTTGTTTGATTGTTAATCTTTCCATGGTTGAAATTGCCAGAGGCATAAGTTGTTACAACTGAAGGAAAAAGAAAAAGAATTCATTAGACACTTAAATATAATTGACATTAAAATCGGTCTAAGTTACTGGAATACCCATTATAAATAGTTATTGAAGGGAAACTTTTTTTCTACCTTCCGAAAAACATCGTTTTGTATATTCTGGTATCAAGGCAAACAATATATTTTCTGATGTATTCAACAATTTACCTATCCAAAAAGTATTGTGTAGTATTACAAGAGGCCTGAATCAAATTTTTATAACCATCATGAAACTTTCATGTAAGAAGACTTGACATGCGGTGACCACAGTATGTAATGGGTTCACCCTTAGAGATAGTACTCGGTTTCGCTTTAGAACGTTGAATACCTATGTGTATCAGAGGGTTGACCTTGATGGTACCTCACAGACACCGCCATCCGTTAGCTATTTTGGTCGATTGTGAGCATTCCCGACCCTTTCTGCCCGTGCCAACCACTTTAAACATCCGTCACGGGGTCCTGTCGGCGGAGTTACGCGGGGGTGGGGGTGGTAGTAGATGTACTATTTACCGAAGCGCCCAAAGACATTATAGACAAAATATTTTCTGATTCAAAGAAAGATGGAACCTTTTCCATGATATAACAGGTCTTTGTAATTGTTTAAAGAGGAGAATAAAACTGAAACTCCTCTTTAAACGAATATGAGTGAACATACGGTCTAAGCCCCTGCAACTGGGAACACGATGTAACGGCAGTCAATTCATCAAGCTGAATGGAATATAAAGCAAATTCTGCAGACTTGAACTCCTACACTACTTAATCGTTGATGTCAATGGCCATATCGCTGATACTCTTTTCAACAATACAGTTCAGTAGTGGAATCTATGCAATCATTTTTTCTAATCCCTTTCTTAGGTATGACGATAAACTACATCTGCATCCTGGGTAAGACGATAAACTACATCCGACAACAAGGCTTCTGATCAGGTCTTGTGGAGCGTGGAATCACTTCTTACTTGCTGGTGTTCCCAGGTCCACTCTGACCCGGGGTGGTAGCACCGGTTAGGTCCCAGCTATGGGCAAATAGTTAACTCCCAAGCTGGGGTCAAAACAATATAAAAGTGTGAAAATAAGTTTGATACCAGCAATATATTTTTTAAAAAAAAAAAATTTTGAAGAAAAAAATTATTACCAGTAATATATTTTTGATAAAAAAAATAAAAACAAAAACAAAAAAAAAAAACTATTAACAGCAATAAAAATCTTGTCGGCATTAAATAACCTATTGAGGTTGATATGCCGTAAAAAAAAATAAACCAAACCAAATTTTTCTCCAATCCATTTCCGAAAACAGTTTCTACCATTTTGAGAGTGCAAGGGTTGATCAGAGTTACACCGATTTTGATGCTTTATCCTGTACTACGTCACAAGGACCTACAACACGTTTCTTGGAATGCCCCTGTTGAACCCAATTTCATCTTTTTGAGAGCGTTTCCCGGATGATGAAGAAGGATTTTGTACTTGTTCTTGTGTTGAGGATGAATATTCTATAAATGTTTCTTCAATTCTTCCTAATTGAGTACCCTTGATTTATCGGATTGTTAGTGCTGCGAGTGCTCTCGGCGTTTGACTGGCGGGTGAACTGGCAGATAGTGGGGGAGGGGGTAGACGGTTAATGACGTCACGTTACGTTGTCTGAATCGTGGTCGCTACAAGACCATTCCTCTGCGTCGCTTCAGTTCGTGTTGCGACTATCCAAGAATTTCATCTCTAATTTCGCAATACAAGTGGCTCCAATCGCTCCCTTCGACCATTGCCTCGCTCTACACTGAGCCCAACAGACGCAGACGAGGTTCGTTTCACTCGTTCCATGCTTATCGTATGCAAGCTGGAAACAGCTCACTCTCAGCATGTTAATGTTTTTTTCAAAGTGAAAGTACCGGCAGTCGCGGACACTTGCTTGCGGCACTCTTATTGGAGAAACCATCGAAGAGGCACACGCGCGTAAAACGAACGTGATAGACGCGAAAGTAAGGCCAGCGGTTAAGGGGAAAAGAAAGGAAGCAGTTGAGTACCGAGGAAACAGCGAGACGATGTGCTCAGCAACACACAGCTGACAGGAATTTATATAAACGGCTGCTATACGAGTGGAAAGATAGAGTCCATCACGTTCTCGCAAGAAAAACACCAAACGCTCGAAGAAAGACTCGAAACCGCATACATTCGATTTGGCCGACGTTAACTATTTAAACAAATTTTGCACATGGAAAATTTTGGGTCGTATTCTTATTAGACTTTTGTAACGTAAAATTCGGCTTACGGCTACATTACATTGAACCACCAGTTTCCGTATGATCCCAGAAGTTAAGCATCGTCTAGCCTGGTCAGTACCTAGATGGGTGACTGCTTGGGAATAATAGGAGCTGTAAGCTGCGTCGTGGGGGTAGGGTAATGTAAAATAGTTCGGTATATTTAATCGGAGCTGAGTTCCAATTCCAGTTGAGTTACTTTATATCCACTTATGCGTAAATCAGACTAGGGAAAAGTATGGAACCAACTCTTCTCCCCCAGCTATGGGTTAATTAATAAGATTTGTATCACTAAATCATTATTGTCTCCCAAAATATCTTACAATCTAAAAATATTTTCTGGCTTTAAATAACCTCCAACTAGGTGGATAAGCCATAGAAAACGGATCAATCAATGAATAATATAAGATTACAATTCTTATTCATCTATTTAACTTATATATTTAGATATCTCTGTTCATGTCTATCAGTCTATCTATCTCAATCTATTAATTTTATATCCATCTATCCCAGTTTATTCCTTTTCTTTCTTTCTTTCTTTCTTTCTATCTATCTATCTATCTATCTATCTATCCGTTTGTCTTGTAATAAAAGAGAATCTCGTCTTAATGTTTTCTTTATACATCATGTAAATAGTTCTTTTTATATCCAGACAGATTCTCTTTATCCGAGATACTAATCATATAGTCACTATATAAAATCATAAGCGATAACTACAAACATTACATTTTAGCATCAAGTACTTTGGCGTGTTTCCGAAGTTTTCGTCTCTTAAGGAAATCAGAGCGATTAAGAAGTAACAACAATTTTAAAATCACTAATTTTCTCTAAGCTTTGAATCCGACTTTTAGAACAATTAGGTGTGTGTGAATTTGTGCATTTGATAGCGAAAGACACAGAGAAGAAGAAATTGCTTATTATTTCCATCATAATTCATTTCTATTAATTAAGCCACGAATTATATTATCTCTCATTAATAATCATTAATTTAAAAGCGTAATCATTTTTTTTCATTTTTATTTCATGTAGCATCCTTTAAGTTTCTGGTAGCTGTCTACTGTGTAAAAATAAAATGATAAAGAAGAAAGAAAATATCTCTTTAAAATAGCCGATGAAATAATTATCTTTCCTCAGTGAAATTATCAGTGTCATATAAATACAGACTTTGTCAAGTCACCTAATCATATTTCTCTTTGTTGTTGCTCTTGTTGTTATGCCCTTCTTCCTCTTCTTCTTCTTCTTCTTCTTCTTCTTATTATTATTATTATTATTATTATTATTATTAATGGTAGTAATATTATTTTCAGTATGAGTAAATCATTTTGTATTATGATAATTAAGAATATTTTATCTTTCATGAAATGATTTAATGAACACTGATTTTATTTATAAATGTTAAAATATTCTCGTCACTATACAAAATATCTATCAAATTATTATGCTGCTTCTTTGACGTGTTGTGTCCCTTCGTTAAATGAGCGCTCATGGCTCTCCACAATTTCTTATCCTTTGTAACCCAGTCCCGCTTCTATCATCCATTTACACATTTTCTCTTCGTGTTTCTCTGTTTCCGCTCTCTTCATATGTTCTCTGATTATCAAATTATCCAAACCTCTTTCCTCATTCTGATCCTAAATACAAAGATTCATTTCGTTCCAGCTTCTTTGGAAAACCCTAACATATTTTATCTATGCTATTCCCGGAATTCTTCTCTAGAATCACATCTGTTTCCACTGGCGTCCTCTTCATCCGTGAGAAAATTGCCCATCATTAACAGCCATATAGGAGGAGACATATTACATAGCAGTTCCACATTCTTTTCTTTGTTTCTAACGAAATTTTCATGTATCGTAAAAAGAAAATAGTAAATGAAATGAAAAGACCCCAAAAAACGAACCGATTAAATAGCCCCGATCTAATCATAGGTAACTGCTTTGAATTAATACGTTTTGTAAAATATATGTCTCATTCTAAAATGTCCAATTCCGTCAACAGTCTTCATTAAACATATCCTCAAATCTATTCATGTTTTTCCATTTTATCATTATGTTTCCATGGCGATTGCACTTGGTGACATTGCTGAAAATTAATTGGTTGAAATTTTCTAAGTAGAAGCGCAGTTTCCATTCGGGCTATTGTTTCTTTTTATTTTTTTAATCATTTTAATCATTTAGAAATCTGATAAAAACACTAGGACAAAAAGGATTACTGAGAGTGAAAGAAATAGAGTAATTGTTATCGAAGGGAAAGGAGAATAAAAAGAACAGGATTTAAAGACACAGATGACAATTGATGTTTCATTTAAATGTTTGTAGATTGTAGGTGACTAAAAAACATGAAGAGCATACGCTTATATTTAGTAATTGTAACAGTAAAAGAGTTGCCAGTCTATTACTACGCTTATATTAATAAGAAATGTTCGCCAGAAAAACTGTAACGAAAGTATTTGTTAAAAAAATACATAGTGAAGTAACCTTCCAGCTGTAGGAAAGAGAATGAACCCGATATGCCAGGTTAGGACCGAAAACATTGCTGATTCTATTTTTGATTTTGTCCAGAATCTCAAGATATATTGCAGAAGCAACTTTCTATTAAAATAGTGACAATATGGAACTACACAATACACACTTTGAGAGAACAATCAAAGGTAAATTATCCAGACATTGTTATTAGAGACCACGAACAAAAAAATGCCTCCTTATTGATATGGCACTCCCTTCAGACACCAATGTATCTTTGAAGATATTCAAAAAGCGGTCAAAATAAGGACCTTGAAATAGAAATCACAAAAATGGGAACATCAACAATCCCTGTTGTAGTTGGAGCCCTAGACTCCAGTAGACAAATTGAAGGGATTCCTGGAAGTCCATGCCTCAAAGAGATACAAAAAATTTTTCTGACAAGTACAGCCCACACTTTACGAAGGGCTTTATCTATGTATTTTTTTTTGTCAGTTGAAACTATCATGGTGCCATTTTTAACATTAGGTCCCTGGGCGGGACCCGGAAAGAAATGTGTAAACGCCAGAAATCAAAGGAAATAATAATAATAATAATAATAATAATAATGATAATAATAATAAATCTAAAAAATGTAGCACATCAGTAATTCCATTAAAAGGGATTCCTGGTAGTCCATGGCTTAAACAAACACAAAAAAATTGTACTAACGAGTACAGTTCACACAAAACCTTTATCTATGTAAAATGTGTGTGATTTCAGTTATTTGTTTATCTACTTTTATATAAAAATGATCAGTAGAAAATGTCATGGAGCCATTTCTGAGCTTAGATCTCGTTATCTACCCAAGATCTCACCGGAAAGCAGGACGTGGCACCAGGCTGTTTTTTTTTTTTAATGTAGGGCGATTTCGAGCCCCTGTGCTCGGGCAAAAAATGTCTGGAAACCCTGTATACACAGGGTCGGGTAGCTGCCTACCTCTCCAGACGAGAGACTGTTCTTCGGTATAGCCTCGTCTGGATTCCACTCTGCCCGGAGACAGAGAAGGACAAACAGAGTATTAGCAAACGCAGAGGTTTTGCTGTCTCGGTATTTACCCAAAACCTTCCCACAAATCTTAGACCTTAAGTCTCTGTTTGGGACCCGGAATGAAATATATATACAATAGACATAAAAGGAAATAATTATAATAACTACTCCCGCTCATGAACAGATATACACTGCGTCAGTAACTTTGGAACATGCGCAACTGACAAGAAAATATGTGGTACTGAACAGCATATTCAGAGTATCGCATCTTAATTCACAAAGAGATAACACAAATTTCTGTTTCCATATTAGTTTGTATCTGTTAACGGTGATGTGCGGGTGGTGTAATGATAAAGACTCGGAATCGGAAATTGAAGATCCGTGTTCCAATTTCTGTCGGTTTCGTTACATTTTCTTACGCGCAAATACCCCTGAGAAAAGGTGGGAATCCACATCTTCTCCCTCCGACTATCGGCTAATTTATCATTAAATCATTATCTCCCAAAATCCATACGACCTAAAGAAATGTTTTCTGGAATTAAATTATCTGCAAAACCGTAAACAATGAATAAAAAAAATCTCTTTCAGCATTTCTCATCCTTTTTGTTCTTCACCTCTTCCTACTTTTCATAATCTTCTCCTTCCACATTTTTCCTCTCAACATTCTATACTTTTTATTTACGTCCTCCCCCTTCGCCTCTAGCCCCCCCACTCTCTTCCTCCTCTACATCTATCTTCTTCTTATTACTAAGGTTTATCTACACACGCTAATAATATTAAGTTGGAACGAAATGATAGGAATTTCCACGCCTCGTTACCTCGGGCTTATGCTCACAATTTCTCTCGCTCTACAATACATACATAAATACATAAATAAATACACACACACACACACACACACACACACACACACACACACACACACATATATATATATATATATATATATGTGTGTGTGTGTGTGTGTGCAGGTATGTAGAAAAAGAGGAAAGAACACGTTAGGTAAATAATCTAGGGTTCTTTAGTATTTTTGTTTTTATTTTTTAAAAACAGTGCTCCATACAGAAGTAGAGCTTAGATTATAATTATTTTTTAAAAAAGCGAAGGAATCATATTTTTTTAAAAATAATATATATATATATATATATATATATATATATATATGTGTGTGTGTGTGTGTGTGTGTGTGTGTGTGTGTATTCGTTTTCCGACCATGAAGCCTCGGTTCGAATCTGGCCATAGTCGATGTGTAGGAAAGTGGTGATATCGCTTTTTTTTTGGTGGGGGGGGTGATCATACCGTGGGACATCTTTGGAAAGAGGTTGAAAACGATACCATGGGTTGAGCCCAGCGTTAAGCGTGAAATTGAGTAGAGGAGACTTTTCGGAAATCGTCGATGTTTGTGCTAAAACAAAGTCACAAGTCGCCGTGACTGGGTTTGAACGATGTTGCAACTGATGATGATGTACTCTCTTCCTGAAACTGGCACTAATGTACACTCAGTATAGTTGCACTATAAACACCAGTTGGGAGCCGTAGGCGTTGAACAATTACAAATATAACCGAGCGAATGTCTGCGACTGGGGTTGGCTAATTCCCCCAGCAGACGAGAGCAGTTAGCTCTCTAGATATGTATGTATCTATCATCTGATTTCTGTCTTTTCTTCTTGTGTAAAGACTGGGAATGCGCTTTTGCGGAACATAGACAGAATTAAGGCCAGGTGGTAACAAAATTTCAGTGATATCTTGAAGAGCGAGGCCATAGTAAGTCTTGTGTTTGTCCTAGAGACACCTGTAACCAATTAACCTTACGTCCCACCCACTCAGTAGGAAACAATGGCAGCTATACAACTGTTGAATACCGGTAAAACCCATGGAAACAATTGAATTATTGTGGAAATGGTGCAGCAAGCTGGTGAGGTGATATTTCGACTACTGTTTAGTGTAGATAAGAGGTGAAACTTCACAACAGTGGAAGCATGCCATTCTCGATACAGAAGTTATCGCCCTTTGAC